GGTGAACCAACATTACAGGCAAAACTTCAAGAAGCACAAAATGGAGAAATGAAGACGTTCTTTGAGGAAGCTTTGTCTATTTAGGATTGGTGGCTTAGATTGTGTCGGTTGGCGACTTAGTTACGAAAACTACTCATCCCATTTCAAGCATCCGGTGATCTTATCCAATCGACATCATGTGACTGATCTTATTATTCGCCACTATTATACAAGAGGAGGAAATAGTGGTACGTCACACGTTTTGTCAGCGATCCGTGAAAAGTATTGGATTGTCAAGGGGATTAGTGCTGCGAAGCGAGTAATAGGTCAATGCATAGTATGTCGGAAAATGGTAACTTCTGCATGTCAGCAGACGATGGCTCCCCTACGGCTATGTAGGATCCAATAGGGTTGGTACTGTTTTAAATCAGTAGGAGTTGATTGTTTTGAATCTCTTTTTGTTCGAAAGGGTCGTGGTTCGGAAAAGAAATATGGCTGCGTGTTTAAATGTTCACAGACCCGAGCTGTGCACTTAGAGATAGCGGGCAGTCTGAATACAGATTCGTTCATCCTGTTTGTTGAGATTCATCGGTAGATGAGGAACACCTTCAGAGGTTTATAGTGATAACAGATCAAATTTCGTGGGTGCCGTATCAGAACTAAAGGATACAATTAAACGCTGGGATGGACACAAGATTAACGACCGTCTTGCATGTGATGAGATAAAATTGTTCTTTAACCCTCCTTCCTCAAGTCATAGGAGGGGGACGTATGGGAGAGAATCATCCGCTCCGTACGCAGGTTACTGCTTGTGTTGAAGAAGGTGCAGTTAATGCATGAGGAAACGTTGTCAACTTGTTTTGTAGCAATCAAAAGGATATCGAATAGCCAACCGTTAGTACCGTGCTTATCGGATGATAAGGAAAGAAGAGCACTGTGAACGATCAAAACCTAGAAAGTCTCACATTGACGGAGAGTTATACAAAACGGTGGAGACAAGTCAAGCACTTTGCTAATAACTTCTGGCGTCGATGGATGAGGGAGTACATACCAACCCTGCAAGTGCGACAAAAGTGGCTTTTGAAGCATCGCAATTTCAAATCAGGCGACATCGTATTGGTAACATCTGAAACTAAAACACGTGGCAAATGGCCAATGGGCATCATCGATGCAGTGAAGACAGACGGAGATGAACTCGTGCGAACGGCTGTGGTGCATACGGTTGGCGGCAAGATAAGAAGAGATGTACGTCGTCTGTGTCTATTAGAAGGAGCCGACCAACACCCAGGTGATAGGCTAGGGGGTGTGCAGGCGTACTGCTGTAAGTCCTGTGTATCCCAAAGGGAGGGAGGTAGCAGGCTTACTGATGTAAGTCCTGTGATCTTCATTGTTTCGGGAGCGTAAGTAAGAACGGGGAGCCAAAACAAGAGACTATCTGAGGTGGCATTGTCCGCTCGGAAGAAATTTGGTGGCCGGTGTAACGGTCAAAAGAACTGAAAATTCCACTCAGTTATATTGCATTCCCTTTTCTTTCTTCGCCATTCTANGTGCATTCTTTCCGACAGTGGTTTTCATGTTGGTGAATGTTCTATTCTGAACGTTCTACTTAACGTTTTTTTACGATCAAGCATATCTATGAACACACACTTCAAGTGCCTTGCTCTTATATGTAAATGGGATTCAGTGCTTTTTTGTTTTATTGCGACCAAGGTTTTGATTGGACGCTCTTTGTTGGAATAACCGTTTCTTTCGGTTATATTGAACCCCTTTTGGCTGTAACGCTCAAAATTATTTTGCTCGATCNATTATTTTGCTCGATCTGTTGAAGCGCGCCGAATTTTTCTATTGGTCCAGAATTATCTGAAATTTAATTCAAATCACTTATTCTTATTCGCTTTTTATTACCGCAGATGTTCTTTGTGAATATTTGTAGCAGTTTGGCTGGATAGTGAATCAGGATCACTATCAGAGGTATGACAGCCTTATGTATTTGTGATTAGTAGATTAATTTTGGATCGACTTGGTTCTCGATAATTCGGGCTACGCGTTGCTCTGAGATTTGTATATCGCTATCCAAAACGAGCGAGGGGTTGTTTGATTGAACGCATACAGACGAGGTCTTTTCCGTTTCGCTCAAACCAGAACAATCGCGTTTTGGTCGGTACATTAACAACCACACTTCGTTTCCTCTGCGGTGACTACTTTATGACCCTTGCCTTTACTATCCACTACCATGAAGAACTCTCTCTCGTGTACGATATTTTCAATCTTATATGACCTACAGTTACTTAATAATATGATTCGCGCAAATTTTGTTACTAGTATGAGCAACGGTTTAAACGATTGCATCCTGCTGGGGTTCGGACACCCCCTTGTGGAATCTTTAGCAAGGCGAATTCCATGCGTCAATTCTAGAACCGGTGATTCGGTTGGTAGTTAGGTTACCTAACTTCAACCTAGTCCTCACGTCAAACCCTGTCCACTGCTTTCGGTATGGTAACCACGTTCGTCGTAAATAGACACCTGCTTCTGTGCTACAGCGTTCTACGGCAGCTAGGAATCTACGGAACAAAACCTCACTATCACATTACGACACGTTTTGCATCCATTGAAAGATTCGCTGCTTTTCGAACGTTGGATTATCAGATAACTGGTTTCATTTTTTGTTTATATCCTTAACCAGATGTAATCAACAAAATACCACATAAGCGGAAGGAAAATATTCCAAAAACGCGTTGTACTGAGCCAAGCTACGATCAACTAATATAGTTTTGTATTGTGCAAATTCTGAGCACATGGCCCTCATTGCTCCCGCGGAAGATCTACAGCCATCATAACTCCCATTCGGCAAGACAGCATAGAAGAAACTTCTACCTAAACCGGTATCGTCTACAAGCTTAGCATGCCAAAGCACGTACCCGCCGCAGTTTAGCTGGTATCCGCTAACAAAACATCATTAAACCAGTTTTCGCAGTGCAGCATAACCTTAGGAACAAATTAAAGATGACGAACGACACCTTCGTTCAGCTCTGTCATAACTTCTCCCTGATTCTCCGGCATATCCCAAACTTTCACCGCATCTCTTTATTGACGTATCGATCAAAGGGTAATTGAACCTTTGTGTGGCGAAATCACTTAGCTCGCTAGCACTTCTAAAAGTGTCCATCATAGTACACACTTTTCATCTTGTTCTCCAGATAGACGACCATTACTTATATGCAAACTCCGTTGACCCGTTGACCCTACCAACTGCAAGAATTCCAACGAATACCGGACAAGCAATATTTTTCAGCCTAAAAGCGAGTTTAATATATTAGAAATGAGAGCCACAATCACCTGATTTCAGTTGCGCCGCGCCTTTGATGGTTGTACACAGCAATATTTGATCAAAAGTACGGAAAACCCTCAAGCAGCGTCATTTTCCTACCAAACTTTATCTCTTGTATCAGATTTTGGCTGTCATTGATGCATAAATGTAGAAGAAAGTGTAGTCCTTCAAGCATCCGTCCAGCGATCCATAGCAACTTTTTATCATTCGTTCAAAAACGGCCGTGTCATCAACGTGAGCCAGGGTTGGAATGAGCGTGGAAGTGATCGTCGCCATGGGGTTGCGGTATTTATACTTCCCGAACAAAGTCAATTAGGGTTAATGAAAACAAATTTAATTTTAACATATGACTTAAATTCGACCAAAAGCAAAGTCTGCTCAACTTCAGCTTGATTCGACATCATTTTACTAGAATGTATTGAAAAATCTCTCGCTTTTAGAAAACTTGATAGTTGGGATGTATGCCACTACCCCTGATGGACCCCAATGAAGGCTACGACCGTTTCCGAAGTTTCCTGTTCTACTTTAACACAGAACATTCTACCAGGTGGGTAAGCTTTGATTCATCTCACAACCTGCTGATTTATCCGCAGGGCTTCCAGTTTGTTTTAGAAGCAACTTATAGTTGACTAAGTCGAAGGCTTTCCCAAATTCAAGGTAGCATACTTCAACTCGCACTCCTACGTCCAACCTTCCTTTGATCTAATCTAACTAGAGTCCAAGCGAAGCATAATTAAACAAAGTCAAATAATAGGACTAATGCGTAAATATATAAGGAAGATTGAACGTCAAGCGCGTATACATGTATGGGGCGAATGGTGTTGAGCGAGTGGAACATAAAATTCACGAAATTGGATCAAAAGTGGTTTGTCTGGATTTTCCGGGAAGGATTTTTACATGTGGAAAAGTGCAGCCAAAGCGCTACCTCCACATGTATCACCTCTACGACAGAGGCTTGGATGACAAGTAAACTAGTTTTTTATATTATTTAATCCCAGTGATTTCTTTCAATAAACGAATTGCTATTCCTGTGGCCTTTCGATCGCTTCTAAGTTACGTATTTGTGACCAAACAGGTCAATTCTATCTAGGTCCTCTTGTAGGACATACTTGTCCATTGCGCTTAGAATCTCCCGGCAGATCTTGACGTCGTCTACATACATCAGAATATTTGATTGTATGCCTTCAGGGAGATCGTTTACAAATATTGTGAACAAACTGTAAGCTAACATAGAGCCCTGAGGTACCCCACTGGGTGGTTTAAGCCTGTCCACAGAACACCGTTTACTCAAAATCGAGAGGTTCGATCGCGCAGGTAGTCTGAGACCCAAGCTATTAGGGTTTGGGGAATCCCAGGTTAGCTAGCTTATCGAATGTTAGACAGTGACGAACCATCCAATGCCTAAGAGAATTCAAGCAGGACAACGTCCATTTGTACCCCCTATCCATAGCACACATATACTCCATGGTCTCAATCAGGTTGGTTTGGCAGGATTGCATCCCTCGAAACCCGTGCTGTGCATCGTGCAAGTGAAGATCTCGCTCGATAATCTCACTCATTTTATTGTCAATGAAACTCTCCATTACCTATGAGACCACCGAGAGCAGAGCTACCGGACGATAAATGTTTCACGAGGTTTATTCCCCTGACTTGAATATATAAGAGACCACACACGTCTTCTACTCGTCCGGGATCAAGCATATTCCCTTGGAGTGGTTGAACAGTCTGCGTAGGGTGGTGCTAACTGTTCTGCATACTGCTCTAGTATGACGGGTAGTATTTCGTCAAGGCCCGACGACGTTTTAGCTGCGAGACTTAACAGTTTTAGTCCAACCTGCGCCGGGGAGAATGATACAGGTTCAATGATTCTACTGGACATGGGGTCTTTAGCAGGATGATCGCTTCCATCTGTCCGACTGGCATGTTCTGAGCTAAACATCGTGGAGTGGTACTCAGGCAAAATGTTAGCAGCACCCGTGCTTCCGTCCGTAAGGGACCCATCCGCAGAAGTGATGTCCGTGATCCAAGGTTTCGCCTGGGTTACCAGGGAGATGTCCCTATAGAAACTCCTTGGATCCGCCATTGTACGTCAACCAATTCGCACTTGAGTGACGCGTAGCCGAACCGATACGAATCCC